AAGGGTAACAATGATCCACAAGTATAAATTTGCTTACTAATGCAAATTGAGCATCATTGCAATACAACCACAAAAACATACACGACATAAACTACTCAATATTTTAACACCAAAATTTAGAAATAAGACATTAATAAACCTAAAAAGTATAATAAACTGATACAGGAGTAAAAAAAAATTGGTCCTAAAAGTGATTGAGGCTATGAAGGAAACATAAGACAGATATAGCAAATTTTTCTACTACTCAAGTGGAAATTATTGCACAAAATTTCTTGATAACATAAATTCACATACCGGAGCATGAGTACTTAGAAAGTGTTCCTCAGCAAATATTTTGGGAACCATATCACAACAGACTTTACATTTTTCTAGATTCCGAGAGCAATGAGCAAAATGCAGGTCCATATTTGAAGAAGGAATTGACCTATCACTGGAAACCAACAATTTCTATAAATTAGCAACTGTTTACCAGGTTGAAAGTTAAAAATAAAGTTAAAAAATGTACCAACTTGACAATTACAATGATGCAGCAAACACGAAACAGTTAATAAGCCAGTTCATCGTCAAAAGTTAAACAACAAGCAAATATTTCAGCAAAAAGATAGTTTATATTTTAAAAAATAAAATTGGAAATTTTCCTATGAACGCTGAAGTATTGGACAAAATAATTCGTTTTACATTATACCAGTCCTATTCAACCTCATTACTCCTTTCAAACCTAAGTTCTATAATGTGCTAAATGACCAGTTAAAGCTACAAGAGTCTTCCTCCGTAAATTAAACAAACAGGTCTCGGCACGCAAGATCCTTACTGCCAAAAAAGGGCTACAAGTGCACTTGTGCTTAGATAATTCAGGTGTTAGTTTTATTTGTCACTTATCAACATAAGCCAGTTAAGTAATAAAACACAAATGTTCTAAGCATGTCAATACAAGCCTTCCATGAAATTATGGATAAATAAATGAAATAATGGTGGTTGCTCCAAGCTTGGCTTGGCTCAGTTCTTTTGCAATTCTACTTCTAAAAGAAAGAGGAAAATTCTTTGGCACTAAACATTAACGCAGAGTTATATTCATTTCCTGCAACTTTTTTCCACATCTTCATGGTATACGCTCTTGCATTTGCGTTGGATATGCGAGTCTGAGGAAATTCAGCGGATGCACACTTCTTAAAATACATTACATTTATGTCCTTGAAACATTGAGAAGACAAACAAACAATTACAACATATCATCTGCATTTCAAATTCAAATTTATGATTCCATAGAACAGTCTGATAAGTTTTTCTTGCATGCATAAATGAGGGCTGCAGAGTCTATGTGCAAGATTAATACTATTGGAGGAGGAATCAAATGAACTAAGCCTTTAATGAAACCCAAGCCGTTAATTAATTTAGTGCTCAACTTGTCATTCGCTGAAGTCATCCGCTGAAGTCATCCATTCATTCAATGAGACTATTTCTTAATTCTTTCACGATGGACTGAACACGAAACGTACTTTTTCAAACAGTCGTGAAAATCACAAAATTCATTTTGAATTTATCTCCTTTTTACCTGAAAATACATATAATACCCTTAATTCCAGTATCTTATCAAACTAGTGTTTCTGAATAAATCTGACTCAACAAGTTTTTGCAAACAAAATTATGCATAGAGACAGTTTATGTCTACATGAACAACTAGGTACACAACACAAGGGACAATGACAACCGCCAAGTCAGATACCCCATAGCATCTCTATGTTCCAGAAGCACGAATTAATCATTCAACCAAGTGAATTCACTTATTTGAGAAACTCAACCAGTATTCTTGAACAGCATGGAGTTTGGCTTCTTTATTGTACTAACAGTCAGAAGTTTCAGAATTCCTTAGCATGACATTTTTTTATTATTTATCATAAAGCAGCATATACTAATCTGTTTTGAAATTTAATTACGACATTTTGGAACAGTTTCTACCGGTTAAGAAAAAATTTCCCAACTCATTATAATAATTAATTCTGAAAATTCATTTTGAGAGCCTAGTATCTGGTGAATAACAGTATTAAATTTTAGTATCTTATAACCAAATTCTATGAGTAACATCAAAGAATCGCACACAAAGTGTTTCAGTAATAACTTTTTCTGGTAATCAGTTGTGAGAATCACGTGTCTGACAATATTTAACTAAAGATATGTGGCATACATTTGTTAAAAGTATGCACATACAATACAAACAGATATTACTAATGTATGCGCAGTAAATTTTGGACAAAGGTACGACCCTCTAAAACTATAAAGATTATCCCAAAAAAAGAAACCTCATTTAAATTAATCGTCCTAAAAAATAAAGAAAATCTCACCAGTGGTTGCAGATGCTGGTGGCTTGACGATCATCAGAAGCTAAAGCCATTTTCCTCCCACTTGAGAAGTTCCACAAGAAACCCTGAATTATAAAAAGTGAGAGGAGAAATGAAAAAAGAGTCAAATAAACGACAAACACGCTTTGAATTAGGTGAAATTGTGAGTAGAAAACAAATCAAATTCCCAGTTTTATCTCAATTTTATCAAAAAGATAACAACCTTAGATTGTATTGACGCTATTTCGATGCGATCGATCGATTGTTGACGGCCTTAGGTTCGAGAAACGAGAATCTGAACAGAGGAGAGAGAGAGAGAGTCCACTTTGACGACGTTTGTCTTCGTTTAATTATTGAGTCGTCTGATTGGCTTCTTGATCTCTGGTAGAAATACAGTAACAAGCCGTTGTTTAAGCCCCATTTTTTCCCAAGCATGTCTCATTTTCAATTTCACGTTCTTTCATAAAATAATTATAAACACATATTTCAAAATAAAATTCTTAATTTTAAATCCCACATTCTTCTAAAAATTATTATTTCATAATGCATTTTATCCCCAAAATGGAAATCCAGGACTAAAATCCATTCTTGAGAATCATGTTGACTACCATGAAAGTTATATTACATCATAAAACATTTTTATGTGTTATAGAACTTACGTGGTCAAAGGGAAAAGATAATCTCACACAAATGAGATTTCACGTTTTGAGTTGATGTCAAGCCATCAGTTCAATCTATAATGATGTTGGAAATATCTTTATGAAATATTCTGATAATACGAACTCATCTAATGAGATAACTATTCAAACGGGGATGGAGCTGGGGGAACAAATTTTTTCTTATATTGAATTGGTACATAGAAAAAAAATCAATTAAAAATTTCTTTTTTTTTACCTATCTTTTTAACCTTAAAAGACTAATGGACTCGGTTCAAATCTGCCCCCATTCCTCCTCCCCAGTATTCAAAGGATGGGCATATTGTATGAGGTAAGAATATTAAAATATGAACATCGAGATGAGCTGAGAACATCCAAATGAAAACATTCAGATGAAATGAGTATATCAAGATGAGACGAGCACATTGAAATGAGATGAGAACATGTAGATGATATGATCAAACATCTGAATGAGACGAGGTCATAAGGATGAGTCCGAATCTAAGCGGATGAACACATTCCAAAAATGAAACCAAGAAAATGATATGAAGAAGCCCCCAGGGCATATCTCCCAGTGACAAAGGGGAGGGCGGATAGGGCTCAGCGCGGCAGTGTGCAGAGTTCGATTCCCCGCAAGGTGGAATTTGCTTTGTTGCAAGCGGGAGTTACCATATGGGTTAACAGCCTTGGCCTATCCATGTGCTCTCCATCCTGGCTCCTGGGAGGCACATCCTGCGATTTACCTCCTCCACGATGGTTCAGGGCAGGGTCTGTGGGGGCCCCTAAGGTTGGGGTTCAACCTTTTAAGAAAATGATATGAAGAAGTACTTACCTAACCCTACCTACAATATCATAGGTTCAACTACCCCCACATGGCCCTTCAAAAATTTAGAAAGATGGTAGATGATAGTTTGGTGTGACTAAGTGTGGCATTGAATTAAATCAAAGTTACAAATACTTTAATAGAAAACAATGAGGTAAGGCATTTTGTCCACTTATTTTTTAAGATTTATGTCCCTAGTGGATAACTTTTCATAATTTAGTTTAATAATTTTTTTATGACCCTATAAGTGAGAACTTAGCTCGGACCTCAAAGTTTCTTCACTGAGTTTTATGAACTCTTTTCATATATACGTAGAATTTTTCTCTATATAAGCTTTTAATTCGAAAAGCCTAAAGCAACGCATGATTTGGTTGGTTGTATAAATTTTTCGAAGTTCTAAATGTGCTGGAAACCACTATACATGAATGTTCATAAAACTTGAATGAGTTATTTTCTCAAGTTTTTGTGCTCTAAAATGTGTAGAATTATATGGTGTCACGTTTATAAGACACTTACATGATTTCAAATTTCCAAGGGCCCAATATTCGTCGAATAATACTATGCAGTTTTACTGGGGTTGCAATATTCGTCGAATGATACTATATATGTCACACCCCCAAATTAATATTGATATCTATACACAACTTAGACATAGAATTTTACATATATTTTTTTTTTTGAATTTGTTAACTTCTAATCACCTGTGACACGATCATATAATATATCGAAACCCAAAATTATATCGCCATAATCCAACATATATATTCAGAGCTTATAAACATGTCTACAGACCATTTCAAAAGTACACTATATAGGATTCCAAAATATAACCCTACAGATGGCAGCCAACAAAATAACCCTACAGGTCGTCATCCATGTACATTGAACTCTGGAATCCTGTAGGAGCTCCACAGCTAGCCATGCTCTCTATGTAGTTCCATGTTCACCTATAATATAAGAACTACATAAGCCAATGCTTAGTAAGCAAAATCATGCATGTCCTGAACATGAGTAATAACGACATATGACACCATGCCGTTTACTTTAAATATCACGATAAAAAGTATCATATTTCAATATTCGTCAAAGTCGACTAGAAATCATTTCACTTGAAATCTTTCATTTCATTGGGCCCTTAACCCACTTACTATGCACCGGATAGAGCTCAGTATAATATCAATATCAATAATCAAATGGCTAATATGAAATCGACACCGACGAGTGGACCATCCTCTCGTGACCACTAGAGGCCCATACCCTGACTACCCCTATAATCACCCAAGAAGTCTCTCACCCGGCAGCGCCAATAATCATAATATCACAGGGGCACAGTCGAGTGGTCCGCCCTCCCGTGATCACCAAAGGCCCATCCCCTATCTACCTTTGCAATCACCCAGGAAGTAACACCCACATGCCAAACATATCACATAAGCATGCCTCACATGC